CCAGCTGTCTTCAAACCTTACCAGTATGGATACAAACCTGGATAATGGTTTACAGCTGCACCAGTAGATTGTCACCTTCTAGCAACAGGTGAAGAGCAGAAGCACCAGGCACTCACCTGGAGGTTCATCAGCATTAGGTAGGATTGCTATCAGATGACTCCACTTCTTTATCAGACACTCAAGACACTAGTGTCCAGCAACTGTCTCTCCCAAGAATGTCTCTGGGCACATCTAAGGCATCTACCTCCTGCTTCCCCTCCTAAGAGACTAACAGGAAAGTTGTCAAGGAAATAATGGGATGCAAAGCTATCAATACTCTGATAATGTCTAGATTGTGATCTTTACATTATCGAGCTCTGATAATGCCGTTGCAGGGACACACACAAGACCTGGCTAACTCAATTTCCAGCTGTATAAAGGGGAAAGTTAGACCACCAGAAACAAACTGAATGTGCCACTCATGTCACATCCCACTAAAATTTGAGCTATTTCTCAAATTCATAGTTTGGATTTGTGTAGGCTCCACTGCTATCATCATAAAACAGCAGCAGCAAACGCCTTGATTCTCTGGGGAGCAATGCAGCATGCCCACTGTCTGGCGGGTGACTTGAGTTGCTGTGAGTGAGCACAGACCATGTCAACCTGGGAAGGGATGCAGCAGTTCCATCACTCACCCACTAAAGGCAGATGCCAGGCCGGCTGGTGACATCAACCGTCTCAGGACCTGCGTGTTCAGAGACGGCTGCTCTCCCCGGACATTGATACCTACAGCAGTTTCCTCTGGCACTTGACTTTAAACGACTTTTTTTTCGAAGGGTGATACACAGGCTGCCAAAGTCGGCCTCTGAAAGGCCTCCAACTGAGATGCAATGCTGCACCTAGGATTAAAATTATTCACTGAAGCAGGGCTTTTGTTTCAAATGCATAGTGTCCTTCCAAATATTTCTGTTTCTCAGTAAATCCTTGCCACTTTTATTGCCATTACCTTGCAACTTAACATTTATTTGTACTGAACCATCTCAATACATAAAGCTCAATGCTCTCAATGTCTTGCTGTGCAGTTTCCAGCTGTCTTATGCATTTACCACCCTCCCAAAGCCAGCGTGGCTAGAATTTTGATAAGGGCTGGATTTATTGCATCTCCCTGCTGCCTTAGTGCTCCAAGCAGAATTCCTGTTTGGTTCAGGCAGGCTGACCAAACACATTCTTAGTGACTGCAGCTGGAGAGGATCTGAAGAAGTTCCTTGCTTTTCATTTTCATTTTACTCAAGGAAGCCTCAAATCTTGCTTTTCACAGGTCAGAGTTCTCAACTTCTTACAGGGGCATCAACAGCGATTTCAGGAAAGATTTTAAGAAACACTTTCCACCTTTTTGAAAGCTTTCATTTCCAACATATAAAATGGCCAATGTACAGCAGTTCTTTCAGTCAGGCGCTATTTTCAAAGGTATGCAACATGTACCTAGAATGACAGCAAGGCACGTCTTAAAAGCACTTGATGCATTTTGCTTTGCTTTGCTACAGCTCCATGTTGTGCTTCTAATAACCGTCACTGGAACAACACAAAAGCGACAGCTCTCCTTGGACAGCTGCCTACCGCTGAATGAGCAAGGTTGTAGACTATTTCATTTCTGGTAGAAGATTAGATGCCCCTGTTCATGCTCATTCGTATTATGCCTTTCTTCCAGTGTGAAGAGCTGTGTACAAAAAGACCACACATCAGTAATGCTGACTTCAACCAGACCAGCCTGGACTTTGTATCTGGATGTGTGGGACTGACAGAGCTGCTCGGTAGGTACATGGTGCTCAGGTATATGCAGAGCTTGAAGATGCTTGGGCTCTGCCATTTAGCTTTTTAATGCATCATACAAACAGCCGTTCAAATAGGCTGCTTTTCTTCTTTGAATCCTACATGAAAATGTCTGTATGGAAGATCATTTTCTTGATGGACTGTGATGAACCCTTCTGCATGTGAAGCCCAATGAACAAAGAAGAGGAAATAAGGAAGAGGCAGGGAACCACAGGGCAGCTAGCCTCATCCTGGTCCCTGGGAAGATTATGAAACAAATCCTCCTCAAAGCCACATCTAGGTCCCTCACGCCCAGTGAGGGATAAGGTGACTGGTAATAGTCACCGCTATAATCTTAACCCAATCTGGTTGCCTTCTGTGATGTGCCTTGTGGACAAGGGGAGAACAGTGAATGTTTACCCTGACTTACAGCAAAAAACACAGAGTTGATGGACAACCTGCAATGGCAGTAAAAATGGGCTGAATTGCTGTGCTCAGATTTTAGTAGTGGATGGTTTGAAATCCAGGAGGTGGCCAACTCTGCGTGGCATACCTCAGGGGCGGGTACTAGGGTCTACTGCTTTATGTCTTATCCACCTGCTTGGTGGGATAGAGCACACTTGACTTTGCAGATGGCACCAAACACAATGTTGGTGGAGGACAGGAGCAAAACCCAAAATACAGTAACAGAGGGCTCCCATTCAGTCAGATCTTGACTGGCTGGAGTGATGCACTGATGGACAGTTTTAAGTTCATCAATCCTGCAACTGAGAAATAATAAACCAAGGGACCTGGGGCTAACAGTGGAGTCACCAGTGTGCTCCCTTGCAGCTATGAAGGCCAAAGCTGTACCAGGCTGCATAGTAAAAGCAGTGCCAGCAGGTTCGTGAAAGTTATTTTTCCCCTGTATTCAACACTTGCAAGCTGCATCTGGAGTAACATAGCCAGTTTTGGGCTCCTGCATACAAAACCACATATCGACAAATCTGCAATGAGTCCAGCTGTGGACAACCCAGATTGTTTGAAAGATGCAGTCCCTGACACAGCTCAAGGCAGGTTGAGGTGGGTTTGTTCAGTTTGGAAATTATGGCTGCAGGACTTGCAGTCTTCAACTACCTAATGGATGATTACAGAAAATATGGAGTCGGACTCTTCAGAAGACAAAAGGAAAGCTACAGCAAGTTAATCTCTGATTGTACATCAGGCAAAAGTTTGCACTAAAGATGTCACAAAATCAGAACAGGAAGCCAGGGAGGTTGTTCAATGCCCACCCCTGGAAATACTCAAAACTTGACTGCCCACAGCCCTGAAAAACTTGACCTACTTCCAAAGTCAGCCCTGCTTTGCATGTGGGTTGACCTGCATGACCTTCAGAAGTCCCCCCAACCTGTATTACTATATGATTCTAAAACTTGAAAAGATCAATGTAAGCTTCACAGCATGGCAAACAAACCATTGTTATTTGTTATTTGTTACCTTATGCTGTGTGACTGTATCCTAGACCCTCAAGATAATTTCCATATCATCATCAATTTTACCTTAAGCCCTCATTATCAAGTAGTCCAGGCTGCAGAAGCATTCAGCTGCAGATGATCTGTCAAAAACATAAATCCCAGGAGTAACAGGACTGAAGTTCGGGAATGACGTTTATCTCTATGCAAGTAAAGCTGCCCCAATTCCAGGCCCTGGTTCTTTAAAAATAAAAAAAAACCTTGAAACCACACAGTTTGGATAAGATATACAACTGAAGTCCTGGACATTTTAGCTCCTCAAAACAGCTCAGGTCATTTCTTTGACCTTTTATGTCAGACCCGTGAAGAGAATTAACATGAACAGGGGCTAGTATCCTTTGTAGAATACAGCATGAAGACATGTAACTTTCTATATACACGAGATAAGATTTTGTGTATACTGAGATTTTTGTTCCCAAAGCATGAGAGATTTTTCCTAGAGCTGGAGCAGACCTGTAAGAAAATTATTTCCTTAGCTTAACTTTGGCTTGCTTCTTTGCACATGTTTTCATAAAAATGCAAAATACTAAGATCTGGAAACAATGGGACAGCTGTAGCTTTAGGTTTTTCAACCACTAACTACATATCTACAGATTTTTCCAAAAGTTAACATTTATTCATAAGTTTATACTATCAGCAATCCTTTGATAGGAATTATGCTCTTAGAAGTAAGCTTAAACAATAAGATGTAAAGCTAATAATGGTCTTCGGTTTATGAACACCTTACCCAAAAGCAGATGAAGCATCCGTAACTAGAAGTGTGGCAAACTCATTTCAACAGTGTAATAAAGAGCCTCTCCACGTCATAAGGTAAAAACCAGCTACTAAAAACATGACCTTTTGCACATCATTTGCACATTTCTTTCCGCTGTTTACTCTTTTCTGTGCTTGTTACAAGCAGAATGATCGACCATTGCATTGTACAGCTGTTTGTTTCTTTCACGTTGTAACTAGTGCTACTGTTAACATCCTCCACCACACCTTCTACTCAGAGAAACAGGAACATTCAATGCAGATTTACTAAAAGATCTCTTTTCCAGTTGATGGAAATTACATGTAACAATGACTTCATCACGACAGAGAACGTAGGAATGGTTAAGAGGGTATGTTCAGTGGCTAACAGGATATGCTAACCATATTTTCCCTGTTGTGTCACAGATTCTAGGAGTCAGGAAAGAATACAGAACACTGGGATTCTTTAAGAAATCTTGTACTAGTCTACTTCTGGAACGATTAAAACATCGGTGACAGATAGTCTATCCACTCCATATAGGGAAACATTTATGTAGTACCATCAGTTAAAGCTTGAAGGAAAGTAACATCTGTTTAAACCAGTTTACCAAAACTAAGCATACATTGAGAAGAAAATAATGGAACTGGAGGCAAAAAGAGGGTATGTCTAGCTATAGCATAGACTCCTTCATAAATAAGTAAACAAATAATACTCTTAAGTTTGCTAGGGTGCCCGTTCAAGCCACACACTTAACCACAGCTTGCTTTTGCTTTTAACACCGTATTAGTCTTCCAGGAGCAGGAATTAGAAGTCTGTGCCCAATTTGCACTCAGAGTTCTCAAGACTCCGTATCTTCTGCCCTCCATCTTAGTTTTTTTTTCTTTCACGCATCTTCCTCTTCCCAGGTAGCAGGCACAAATAAAACAAACAGATAAAGTTCGTCTACCTGAGCTGAATTTTTTTTTTTTTGGATGGATAATTCCGCCAGATAAATAAACTTCCAAATATCAGAGAACAAGAAGAGAAGGGACACAGAACAGTCAAGACAGAACAACTTTTGTTTTTGTCAATATTTCTTTAAATCCCAATCCAGCTCCTAGTAAGCCTGGACACTACTTACAACACTCCTAGAACTGCAGAGGAATGGAAACACAAATAGGGAGCGAGTGGAGAGGGGGACAAGACAGCCCAGTGGCTGGCTTCAGACATTCACATACACAAAGCCAGCGTCCACGGGAGTCGTTAAGGCCCAGATGCCCCACTAACAGGAACAAACCCAAACAGGAAGGTAGCACATGAAATGTATTTACCTATTTAAACACAGGCAGCTGGTCAAGCTAGAATGGGGAAGGTAACTGCTAATTCCTTGTACTACAAGGAAGGAATGGAGTAAAAAAAACCCAAGCCCACGGGCAGGTTTTTGCTTTGTGAACGTCTGTCTGTGCTGCTGGTTAACAGTGGTAAGTATAAAAAAATCAAAGAAAAATAATCTATTTATAGAACAAGTCAGTAGTCTGAGACATTTAGAAAAAAGTAAAAACAAGTCCTTCTTTAAAAATGGATTTACTAAAACAACTGTCACCCAGGATGACCCCAAGCCCTCCGGTCCTCTGGCAAAGCCAGGGGCAGCTTCAGACAAGAACTGTTGCTGATTGTACGCTGGTACACATCCAGCAAAGCCAGCAGGAAGGGGGATTTGCGGTGCGAACAGTATCTGCAGACTGCTTGCTGGTATCGCTTGAGGCCATGCCCGTAGCCTGGTGATACTGGAAAGAGTTGTGAGTGAGACTTTTCACAGAAGCACATGTCAGTGTAACCTCTGAGGTAAGTGGGCTGTCTTCTTTCCTTCCCATCCCTGGGTACAGGTCACAGAAGCTGGGGCCCCACGTGCTGTACCTCCTCGCCAGCTCCATCCTGCATGAGACAACTCTAACGTGCAGGAGTGCAGAACTCTAAGCAAAGCCTAGAACAGGAGAGGGCACCCCTGTGTAAAGGGAAGCACTCTGCTCTTCCCACGCTCTGGTCTAGCTGGACATGGTCAGTGTTTTCTGGCCCTCCTCAGGACAGGAAGATCAGCTGATCCCCACCGAGGAAAAAATTTTGCCTAGTGGAGTAGAGTTGGGTTTCTTTTTTTGGTGAACAGAAAGTTTGCTGATTTCCGAGATCACGAGCTCCTCTGCCCCTTAGCTACAAAAGAGAAATTAAAAGAAATTCGTCCACTTGCTCCCACATCCTTATAGTGTAGTGTTAGCTGCCTGGATATGGAGGCAACTTCACTCTCCCAAGACACTGCCCCACTCACTGGGTTGGCATAGGGAGGCAAAAGATAATTTCCAAAGTAACCTCCTCTGGGTAACCTGGTAGGCCTAAAATCTCCAGCCTATGCCCACCAATTCCAGGCCAGCTCCACTGCCAACATATACTCCTAACGCCCTGAAGTGTCTAGTCTAACAGCCTCGGGTTTGCTCAGTCTCATAAGAGCAACAGCCACACTCAGAGATGGAAATACTCAAGTCAAAAAACACTGGCTGGAGCTCCTAATCAGGCGGTGTCTGCATAGATGAGTCGGTACCAACGTGCCTTGACGTCCCCACGCTATGAAGGAAGCCCGCTGTAAGGAAGGGACCAACTCTGCTGCAGGTCTGTATATGCTTGGAAGTGAAGCTCAGTGGCTTTATTAGCTTCAAACCCTCTCTTTTCTGTAGGGTTTCAGTGGTCCGTTTCCCAACAAGTTCCAGGCATTGAGCAGTTGCTAACTCGCCTCCTTAAGATCTTCCATTGGGAGTTTGTAGCTCAGTAAGAAAGGAGGTGGTGGTGCATGAGCAGGGCTACTTGGGCCCTGCATTGGCTTCTTTGCACAGTTTATACAAATGTAATCCTCGTTCTCAGCCATTTCTGGAGAGACACCGACACAAACCTGATGAAACCACTCATCGCAGCCACCGTCACACTGCACCCAGTCCACCTGCAAGAGATCAGATCAGCAATATAGCACGTTACAAGGAAAGACAGGTAGGCATAGCTTCTATGAAAAAGATATCTTCTACTAAATCCACATGTTGAGAGCACAAAAGCTTTGGGGCACAAATTAATGCCCTACAGAGTTTGTTTTAACAAAGCTGCTTCGGTTTTAAAAAAAAAAAAAGAAAGAACACTTTTCCAACACACCCTGCCCCTTTTGCATCCTTAGACCACAACAATACAACCACACACTACACTGAGGAAGATGACACTCAGCTCTCCTCAAATTAAAGAATGTGCTCAGGGACAGTTACTTCAGCATAGATGAGGCCAGAAATATGCTTCTTAATATACCCCCTGAGACTGCGTTATCAAATGGTAGCTTTTGCAACATAAAACCCACACAAACCAGAAGTATCTCATTACTGCTTTTGGCTAAAATAAGCCACATGACATCATCAGCTTGAATACTTTTCTACCAGAGAGGTATTGGGTGTTCAGCTGGCCACGAAGAAAATGCACAGAAACTCTAATTCTGAAGCATCAGAACATTTAAGCTAAAATATTTCAAAAATTGAGCTGAATTTGCTAGAGAACAACTAGAAAAAAAGCATAAGAAGTAAATCAAAATGCAGGAAGGAAAATAGATGACTTATTAGATTTCTGTAGTTCCCAGAGTAAAAGTACATGTTAATTTGAGCCACTGGACAGAAATCATGATGTGCAGGATAAGGAACACAGATTCTTAATTTTAGTGGCAGGCACTGGTAAAGCTGTAGAAATCGTTGCAGCTGTTGTTCTGCTTCCACCTTATAGGGGAATGTGAAAATATCTAGGAAAACAACAATAGTAGCAACCTATCCAAAAAACGAAGAAACATTATCGGGTCAAGGTTTTACTTCAGTCTGTAGGAAAAGTACTCCTGAACAAACTTTTAAGAGTGACTAGTAACAGACACTAGCAACTGTAGCTTCAGTCATTTACTTTCCAGTATCCGCCATTTCTTACCTGTATGGCATTCGTCTATCAAACGTACAACACATCCAACCTTATGGCAAGACAGTGATCCCACTAAAAGCTCTGATTGCATAATCAGGAATTTTACTGTTTCATTTATGGAAGTTGACAAATTCAGTACAACCTACTTTATAATATGAACTTAAAGGCACTCTCCTCCCTCTTGCAATCTCAATTTCTGTAAAAATGTACTAATACAAGGAAATTATAATCTGCAAAGTAAAGAGAACAATGGTACATGCTATTATATTTCAAGCAACTGAGTGTAGTATATGACCTGGCCTAGACTTCAAAACTGATCTTTTAATTGGTCTTTTCAAATGTTCAGATGAACACTAGTTTCCATAATTCGGTTTTAAGAAACAAACAATAAGTTCTTGGTATTTGTAGTTGTTCCTACACTCTCTTGTGCAAGTCAGTGCAGTGCAGTGTCAATCCTACAAGCTACTACTGGGAGCAGTTTTCTTTCATTCTAAAAACCAGAAAAAACACATTCAAAAATACCCCATTTTTTGGATGATAATTTAGTGCATTTAAAAGCTGAAAATCAAGACAGGCAGTACTGCAGAGAGAGGCAGATCAAGTTTCTTTCATAATAATACAATCACTGATCGTTAATCTCCAACAAAAGTGAAATACTGCAGTCTGTAGGTCCCTCAGCCTGCAGCATCACCTGTTCACAGACTGTATGCAAGAAATAGAGAAAATTTACTTCATTTACGAACATTGCGCATCTCACTTCTGCTCAGAAACACCATGAAGTCAGGAGCATCTTTAGTTGAGTCAAAGAACTACTCCTGTGAATCAGCCAATACATGTTGCACACAGCCTGCAAACAATTACACAGCTTGAAGAGGTTAAACTTCCCAGCCAATGCAGAGTACCTTTTTCCCACATTCTAACTGTCCACCCTCTTCTCCTGTTTTAAAGGACCTAAGAGAATAAGGAAGTTCCATAGTTTTAGCCCCTACATTTGCGTATCTACCCAAGTACCACTCAATCCTCTCTCATTTCTCATGGTACCCTTTCTGTTGCTCGTGCTCTTCAACCTAATTATTAAATTGCATGGGGGTTTTTGACATTGCAGGGAATTGCCAGTGACAGAGCTAAGTGAAAACTCACTTTGTCCTTGCAGGGCCTCTGGCAGTTCTGTGCAGCACATACAGCGTTCTCATCATCTGACTCTTCTGCTCCTGACCAGTCATACTTAGAAGGAATATCTAGAACCTTCTTCTCTCTTTTTTTCTCTGTGCTCTCCTTTGCTAGTTCCACCTTCGCGACAACTGCCTTCTCTCGCTTCTTCTTCCGCTCCTCTTCCTTGGCCAGTTTCTTCGCAAGCTTGTTCAGCTCCTTTGTCTTATCCATGGTGAGTTTAAGCTTCTTCTTCTTGGGTTTTTCCAGTTTCTTCAGGTCCTTAGATTTTTGCTTCATATCTCCAAAGAACTGTTCTGCTCTCTCCAGCTTTCGTTTCCGCTTCCTCTCAGAGGAGTCTCTTCCTCTCATTTTCAGTGGTTTCTCATCCATGCTGTCATCCTTCACAGAAAGGGTGAAAAGAGGTATTTTTCAAATGCAAATTTACATATACCGCAAACCCATGGTTTGAGAGATGTGCTAAGCTCCAGCATTATCCTCACATGGAATGAAAAAAACATTAAACAACATACTGCTACAAATTCTGAGACCACAAAAGGGCTCGGTTTTATTTTCACCATACTAGAAAGAAATTGCACATGGTATCAACTATGTCAAAGTACAATGAATCAAAAATGTCCAGTGGAAAAAGTAAACCATCAGCAAGGGTAGGGAGGCAGAACAAGCAATAATTACAACTCCCTTCTCACACTGCTTTTCAATAAAAGTTGAAAAGATTAATCATTTTCTAGATGCTCTTGCTTATTTTTCACCCTAGGTCAGTCTTGCCTGTAATTATTTTTGAGAGAGAGAAATTGCTATTCTGGAGATTAAGAAAGAGCAATTGCTGAATTCTTAAAATGTACCATCAACTCAAGCAAGAGAAGAAAGTAACAGATTCATTACTTGAATAGCTTCCAAACTGGCACACATTGTAAATATCCTGGCATCATTAACAACTCTTAAATAGCGGATTCAGATCAGAAGCGAGGCTTAAAATTAGCAAATTCTGTCACTGCAGGTAGCATCCACCGTGACAAGTCCTATTTATATCTGAAAGATTCGCATGTATAGCTCCTTTGTAAAACAGGACTGACTGAATTGCAGTTAATCCAGCTATATACTTTAACTTTCATTATTATTAATAGATTAAGGACTGGCTTTACTATAAGCCAGTAAAGAAAGACTCTGTTTACTGTACATTACTTAATATAGCTACTCCATCCCAAACCAAATCCTCTGAAGATTATTTTACAAAAGTCTATTTACACACAAAATAAGTAGACATCGAAAGGTATTCAATCCAAAATAAGTACTTCTGGTCAAACAAGTATTCATAAGAGTTAACCAGAAAACGTCATAACACACACACACACACTCTTACCACTGGTGTCTGGAGGGAAGAAAACAAAACAAAACAAAACAGCTGTGCTTAACTATCAGTGTAAAAGCCTAACAGACTACTTATAAATAGCCTGTTTCATAGCTGTTAGCTGAGCAGTGACCAGCACACTCTCACAGAATACTAATATAAAAATTGCTATGTCTATGTTATCCTGAGGAAGAATAGGAATCTTATCACCTTGTATTACCAAACCACATTTTATTTTTAAAAAGCATTCTTTTCCCAGTAACAACATAAGTTCAGCCTCTACAAGAATCAAGTTATGGAAGTTAAGTCTAGACTTCCCATCTTACTCAATATTTACTGTAATTTTTTGCAGATCAGTTTTGGTTCTAAGCATAATCATGAAGAGTGTTTCCTTCCCCAACCTTTTATTTTCTAAAATAAGGTTTGCATATGGAACTGCCTGAGAAAACAGCTCCAAATATGGTTAATTATGGAGGACAGTGCTATGGCATGAGTGATCAAGAATTGAGTTTTTGGATCTCTTATTCTGTTATCTTCTGGAATCTACTACTGCCCAGCTGAAATCCAAACACGTCGAGTAACTAAGCACTCAGCTATCGAAATTATATATATTTTTTTAAAAAACCAATAAAATAATGTGTGTGGGGGGTTTCTGTACCAAGTTTCATACCTCCATGACATGAAGGAACCTGTCCTCAGAGGGTGGATGAGTAGCCTGTAAAATCCGCCAGATGTGCTGAGTCTCATCCAGTGATACCTCTAGTAGATCTCCCACCATCATTAGATCTTCTAGCTGAGCTTTCGCTCCAGGTGACAGCTCCAACACTGGCGGCTCCAAACTGCGAGGTACCAGTGGACTCTTCCGAGGCTGCTTCCTTGGAGTGCTAGAACCTTTCAGACAGGGAGGCAAGTCATATATAGATAAAAGGAAGAGATTAAAACCGAAAGAAATTACATACTTTTTACCACAACAATCTAAGGAGGGAGACAATCCCAAACGGAGAACACTGACACAGGTTTATATATCAGGCATCAGAAAACTAACTGCAATGTAACTCTACAACTACCACAGGTGATGAGCAGTCAGTAAGGAGGGGAACTGCTCTATCCCAGCTATCTGTTCAATTTTACCTCTATGTATAGAAAAGCAAATACCTTGAGAGCAGCTTTTAGAAGCAGATGAATATGCATGTTCAGCACAGAACGAGGGAGCAGTCCACATGTGTGTCACCACCTCCTCTGACTTAATGGGTATTTCCTCATCACAAAACAAATTGGGCTCCAAGCTGCTTGAAGATTTTACACTGGCATTGTCCTAAAAAAGACACGCAGAAAACATGCGACATCTGGATCCAGAACATACCTACTTCAAAGTAAATTCTAACACGACCAACCAGTCTGCTCTTGTTAAAATCCTACTTTGAAGCACCCCAGAGACACCGAGATCATGGGCAAAACGTACAAGTTACATCCCTACTTAAATAGTGGATGAACACAACAACTATTGAGATAGCTTAATAGATTTACAACTACTGTATGAGAAATACTGGACAATTTTCGTCACTCAGCAGTTCCTTAAGGTCTTCAGAAGTCAACATAATGAAGAGGCTTACTCTTAGACTACACAGCTTTTATTAGTTTATTGAAAAATTTGACTTGTAGATTATCAAGGCTGGTATCTTTAGTAATGCAGGGGTATATGCTGAGTAAATAACGGTTACTACAGAAAAAAAATTATTAAAGATCATAGAATCATAGAATGGCCTAG